TTTTAAATTTCTGTAATATCTTCTGTTTATTATAGTCTCCTGTATTTGGCTTTTTTATCACCAAATATTGGTCAATTAAATATATCTATGTTAATAATAGAAAACCAAAGAGAAACTTGACCTTACCGTATCATGTACAAAATTCAAATCCCTAATCGTCACCCTGCAATTTCTACTAACGTGAATATTCGAGTATTGTACAACTTTTAAGCTGAATTCACCTAAGTAGTACCAGATGCTGCCCAACAAGGCTCACCACTTCGCCACTGCCACTCCGAGTTCTTACCAAGTGTTCTGTAATTGTCTGGCATTTATTCCATGTAAAATAACAAAAATTTTTCAAGGAAATGTGAAGTGCCTTACTTGATTTTATTTTTCAATCACCCAGAGAGAACAAGTGAGACACTATCATACAGAAACATCCAGAAGTAGTTTCCACAGGACCTCAGCTGAAAGAAATCTCCTCTCCTGCACTGTAATTGCTGCATCTGTGCAAAATTCATAAGGCTTTTATGCATTTCTCCCTGAAACAATTTTTCTCGAGTATATCAAGTTTTATGTCAGATCCTCCTTTCAGTTCTACAAAATCAACAAAAATCATCACACTAACCTCAGTCTTAAATATTGCATTTTCAGTAAATTATTAAAATACTTTTATGTGAAATGGTTGCTTTGTCAATGACAGATGCAATTTTACTGACCTGACTTACAAGTTTTCCAAAAAGTGTTTTTCATCTCAGTAAATATATGTTTTGCAACAAGGACTACAAATTTAAACTGTTGCATTATATTTCTGTAAAAACTGTATTCTGAAGTTCTTGTAAATATGTTTTAAACTGTACAGCATGTCGGTCCTTCATAAATGCTTTTTAGTTTATCAAATATGTATTGATAAAAAGGTTCTGAAAGTTATTTCATATTTTGGAAGCTGACTCAGATTTATATTTTTATTGAAATAATCAAGTTTTACATTCTAGAAATGCAAATTGTTATAGATTTGTATCCTGCACAGTGTAAAAAACATTCTAGACTGCAGTTTAATATTATTATTTCCTCTAAGATTCAAAATACTAACAGTTATATTTAAAAGTCTTATCCAAACACTGTTGTTCCTTTTAACAAAATATTTAAGAAGTGAACTAATTAAAATTTACTGTAGTTTACCTTATTAAATTAATCCTTAAATATAAAAACATCAAACACCTTATACTACTAAACCCAAGAATAACAAGACTATAAAAGAAACCCAAATAAGAACCATTTAAAACTCAACTATTAAAAGCAGCAGCTATCCCAGAGTCTGTGAATCCTGGTAAAATGGTGATTCTCCCAAAGCACAGAAGATTCTGTCCACCTAGGAGTGTGCAAAGGGCTTTGCCCTCCTGCAGACACGGCTGCGAAGATGGGGAGCTCAACAGAGTGGACCTCACTGCACTCTGCAAAGTCACCCTGAGTGAACAGGTCCACACCGCCAAGTGCCACTTCCCATGGTCAGCTACTGAAGAGCTTCAGTATTTTATCAGCCCACGGAACAGCCACACCCATTCCAACAGGCTGCATGGCTCTGCAAGTCCTTGTGAGTGGTTCCCATACTGGAAGCCTGGGCACTGCCCAGCCATCCTGAGAGGTGGTGGCAGGACTCTACTCACGGGGGAGAGGGGGTTGTTCACTTCACAAGGCTCACAGAGCAGGTGAGCATTCACCAGACTCAGGTGGATACAGAGGTCGCAGGCCTCCGAGCTTATATACAGCCAGGTCTCTTTCTGCTGCTCCAGGGTGCAACACAACCGATGTGGGTACCAAGCCCCGCAGGCCTTGCTGTCCCCAAACAGCGAGCTGCACAACCTCTGTGCTTACGAAGCACATGAGTATAGAGACTACCTTAGCACAACAGAGAGGTACTCACTGGGGGCAATGACAGCAAAATAGCCATACCATTAAAACTTAAGCAAGGTCATATACATCAACTGAAATTCTCATTATACCCTTACACTTCTGTGTTTCCCCCGAGGAAACACCCCGAGCCCTGCCTCCCCCTCGGCTCGCCTCAGCATGGCGAGCAGATCCTTCCTGTGTGTCCTACTACACTCTGAACCCCTTTCCACATTCACAGTGACAAATGTGGTCCTTGAGCCTCGCTGTCTCCAGTGTGCTGTGCCACTAGCTGCAGGATACCAGGCTCACAGAAGTCTATCCAGCACCTGGCATGATGCCTGGCCATGGAAGGTGACAGATAAATATTTGTTGAGTAAATGAATGGGTAAATAAATTACTAGGCCCTATGCCTAGATAATAGACCTGCTAAAAGTAAAAATAGCACTTCTGACTTTTTTTAAAAAAAATATTATACAAACAGAGAAATACTTCCGTTATTCTAAAAGCTAATATGTACACAAATAAAAATTACACAAATACAGATTACACAACAGTAGCACAAGCTCACCACCTCCATCTGCCTCAGCTTGGATACTTGGCAGGCACGGAGACTATGAGGTGTTGTTTCTCTGTTGGCACTACCTCCGCAATAGGGTGCCCTGTTCTGCCCCTGCATTGCAGGGTACAGGGAAAACACTCCCCAGCCAAAAGGGACCCACTCACCTTTTTAGGTCTCATTTTCATAGCCCCAGTCAAACAGGACTCTAAATCAGAGTCCTTTAAATATACAAGGGCATGTTCATAAACAGGTGGGATTCCACAGTAGAAGGACAACAGAGCCCACCTATCAACAAGACTGGCAGGACAAAACTGGCTCTAGAGACACAACTTGTAAGAGACCAGACAGAGTGAGAGATTTGTGACCGAGGAGATCTATTACCTCTTCACTGTCTAGACTGCTATTTTACAATTCCTAAGCCCTCCTGGTAGACACAGAAAGCCAAGTAAGGTCAAGGCAGCACCTGGTGGCGATCAGCCCACAATTAACATGCCTGTTCTTCCCATCTTCCTTGGCCATGGCTGGGAGGGAGACTGTGGTTTAGTCTAGCAGATTCCCTCTCCCAAAAATTCTAAACCTTTCGGAGAGTTAGAAGACAGCTGGAGTCAAGTCACTTCGTAATACCTTTGAAAGAATACGCACATTATGGTCTGCTAATACTCCAGCTCTCCTTTCAAGATGCCTGGTTACTCAACCTTTCCCTACCGCAACCAATTCTGTAGTAATTTTCCCCCTTTTTTTTTGAAGCCAAAATTTCTGGTGCTTAAAGTATTACCATCTGACTCAACAGGCTCTTGTCTGTAGCTGATTTGCTCAGTTCACAAATGACTAGCAGGAGACCCTAGGGATATAGTTTTCCCAGATTTTTATAAAATAGAGGGGTCATGACTAAAGCCCAATTTGCCCTACTCTTCGACTGGCAATAGTATGTCTAAATAGGCAACTGTCAAAAAGCTGAATAATCTAAACAACTTGCAGGCAAATCTAGATATAAAGGTAAAATCAGAAAGGCAAAACAGGAGGCGTGGGGAGTGGGAAGGAAGGACTGCGGATTCCCCTCACAATAGCAGGTTTTTATATTCCATTATGAAACGATGTCTGAGTGATTAAAGCCATATTCCCATAACTTAAAAGTAAATGTCAGCCATTCTGTTAATATAAAGTCTATGATTTTTTAACAGTAAATATAAGAAGCTACAGACCCAAAGAAAGAAAAGAAAGACAAACATCAAATAGACAAAATTGCAATGACTGTATCTAACTATTGCAACAATTCTGGTGCTCACAGCACACTTAAAAAACATTTGTCATGGTTTCCTTGTCACTGTTTTTGAACTATAACACTTTCAGACTAAAAAATAATTCTTGTATTTCTCTGACCTCCTGAGATTTTTTTGCTATTTTACATTTTCAGCACTTTTTATAAAGCTGAATTGCTTTGTTTCCCTTAAAAAAAAAAGTCCTTTTCAATTTAAATCTAGTGCATTTTCTAGACAAAACTTATCCAAAAACAAGTGTTAATTTTTTTCCCATTTCCTTGGTACTTCCGTATCTCCTCATGCCCTCAGTAGCACAGGTCGATCTTAACTGAATTCCCACCCTTTTGGGGAGCCCAGCACAGAACCAAGTGGGAGCTTTTCACAAAGGGCCTACACGGTAACACCAAGTAAGCACTGTACATAAGCACCTCCCTAAATCCAGGCTTCCAATCGAAATGGGCACCAAGGCTTACTCACTCCAGACTGCCCAAACCCATGGTGCTGGACATGTATAACCAGCTGCCTCATATGAAATACTGCAGACATATGTAGTTATTTCATAGAAAAAAGAAACTGTATTACACATCAAAGAATTTATTTTATTACAGAAAAACTGTCTTAAGTAGTATGTAAACTATATCAGCCAGAATGGAAACTTATCTCTCCACTCACGTATCAGAAAGAAATAAATTAATCCTTTTTATAAAAAAACTATTTTATTCACTTTAAGAACATGAAAATTAACAGGTGTAACAGACTTCTTATATTAGACCTCCTTGCTTCTTGTCTTTCTAATAATCACATACATTCAGTTCCACATATATGTAGGTTATATGAAAGCACCTACTGTACTTAATAGAAGGAAGTAACAAATTTTTGTGATGCTTATATCAAGATATAATCCAAGACCTCTTTAGCATAAAGAGGTATTTTTCACTGTAACTACTGTACCTTGGTAAGTCTGCTATTTGTTGTGTGTCCTAACACATTAGATCTTAACAGGACAGCTGTTAGTCCATCCCTTCCCTAGATGGGCTGTAGTATCCGAGTCATATGTGGATGTTAATCGCTGTGGGAGCAGAGACAGTGGAGGGCGCTGGCACCTAGTGGGCCAGGCCAATGGTGCTGCCAAGCACACCTTCATGCAGAAGAACAGAGCCTTTCCCAATAGCTGTGCATTCTTGGGTGGCTGAAAAGCTCTAGCCAACACAAGAATGAGATGGGTAGAAAGACAGCAGCTGGCCAGGAGGAAATGTGAGCTGCTGCCCCCCAAGGCTCTCTTGCCTGGCCTGGCCAGACCCACCTACCTTAGACGCCTGGGGTGTGGATATCACGTGGACAGTGCTGGGCTTGACACCGTTCGCCTTGGGACGCTTATAGAGGGCAAAGCGGCTTTTCCTCCGTCCTCTGTCTCCATTAGGTAAAGCACCATTGTACCTAAAAAAGAAAAAAGATGAAGAAGCCCATTTATTTACAGATTTTAAAAGTTTTCAGCATTAAAATTAGGTGCAGTAGGGAAAGGCAAGCATGGTCTTAAAGTTTTGCCCACTAAACTCCCCACAAAAGGAAAGGACTGCAAAACAGATGTCAGCTGTAATGAAATTCAGATCACTTCCAGAAACTTAATTTAACAGTGATGTACAGGGAATTATAGGTTTCCTACTATATAAAGTGAGACTCCTCAAATCTTTTTTCGAAAGAGAGAGAGTACAAACAGGCAGGGAGTATTCTGCAGAGGTCATATTAGTCCTGGCTCAATTCAGCCTAAGCCATTCTAATGGACTCAGGAAAGCACTTGAGGAATCTTTTAAATAAACTAGTTAGAAAACAGCATACTAATTAAGCTCATCTCTCACTCTCAAAGCATTTTAGTACTGTCTGTAAGATCTTTATGTGTAAGGAAACCAAATTTAGCTCCTTGAATTCTTAAAAATTCTCTATATTCATTCTCATTTCTGTTTGAACCCTGCACTACTAGGTTAAGAAAAAAAAAAACAGCCTGCTCAAATTATACATGAGTTTTCATCCATAAACTGAAAAAGAAAAAAAAAACTCCTTAAAGTCATTAGGGAAATACATAAGGTCTGCCAGGTGATTCCTTATGCAAGCATTTGAAAGGAACGCAGCACTGCACTTAGCAGTTCAATTTCAACTATATGGTCTAAGTCTGTATTAACCTGCCCTGAATGCTCTGGCCCCATCCCGCACCGCCACCCAGACGTGACTAGTCTCTGCCTATACCTGGACAAGGCTCCCTTCAAGACAGTAACTAAAAGGGAAAGGAATCGCTTAAAATGTATACGGGTAACCACGGCTGCCCCGCGCTCCCTCAAAACACCAAAGTTGGGACAGCACGACTGAGGATCTTATCCAACAGACCCGGGGCCTTCTGAACCATCCCAGCTCTGCCTGAAAGAGGAGTACAGTCAGCAGGGTAGGGAGGCTGGGTCTGCAGCCTCCTGCAACTAGAAGCCAGAACATGCAGGCACCTGGCAGGTGTGGGGAGCCAAGCCAGGAGCCACATCTGACAATCTGACACCAGAAGTTATTCCCACTGTGTTCATAATCTGTTGCTAACACAAAGGAATGTCAGCTATGTAAAAATGTCTCTACACTAAAGAGATCATTTATTTTAAGTCTCGCTTCTCTCCTTTTTCTCAGGCAAGATCAGAAAGTTATAGATGATTTTCTTAAATGAATTTATGAGCACTACTAATAAGTATCCATGAGTAAAAACCATCATAAACTTACTTTGTTTTCAGATATTTCACACCAATCAGCTCAAGACAAACATTCTAACATTAAGGGAAACATATGAGAACTAATTTACTCCAAGACAGTGCAAAACCTGGAGCGCATTTTCAGAACAATGGGTAGAGACAGCCACCAAAGGATCTGCTAAGGGCTGCAAAGCCCCTCAATGTGACACAGGCAGAGGGCAGCTGGCCTGCAGGCCAGCAGCTCACCAACAGCACAGAGTCTGTCCTTTACCTCCCAGGCAAGCTCAGCACTACAGTCTCCCTGCCACCTGCAGCTGACCCTCTGGAAGTGAGCAGGTAGGCAAGCTGGCCAAGGACACTCTCATCCTGGAAAGTATGAACGGATGGAGACACGGATGGAGACACAACTGCCTAGTATCTGTGGGCAGCTTCAGCTACAAAACATAAACACTCAAGCTGCAGCAATGTCACAACCTGTGTGTGGCAGAAGAAGCAGAGAAAGCGAAGAATGAAGCAGATGAGCAGGACAAACAGCAAAAGACCCAGGAGGAGGGTCCCTCAGGGCTGTTTGTCTCCTGTTAGGGAATTCTTTTTAGTTCAGCTATTAGTTTCTGCTATTTACAAACCCAAAGTCTCCAACACAGTGGGGGCGGGGTGTAAAAAAAGTCAACCTTACCCAAGGAGAAATGTTTCACTTTCCATTGCCTTGTACAAACACTGCAGGTCAAGCAAATAACACGCAAGCCTACTTACAGATCACTCTTACTTCACATACCCTATCTAGTTGATGACGGGTTTAAAAAATCCTATTGGAGATAATTATCATAGTGGTAGAAAAACCAGGTCAGGATGAGTTTCTAATTCGGTTAAACTGTATGGCCATTCATCCAGTATTCACTGTGTCAAGTGCTAGAGTTGCAACAATGAATGTCAGCTTCAGGAAAACAAGTGTGATAAAACTATACTACTTATCTCTGTTAATTCCTCAAAAAGAATAGCTTGTGCTATCATTGTTTGATTGACCATTTTTGGTACCTAGATCTTATAACCTGAACAACTACTAAGATAACAATATGTAATATATTAACTAGTGTTAATTTCCTATTTTTTGCAATTCTGTATCATCTCTTTTTTGCTTTTTAAAATTAAAAAAAAAACAACTCATAGGACAAGAAGGATGAGCTTCACGGAGCACACTGGGAGAGGTGGGAAGTCAGCACTGCAGTGATCTGGAATCCAAGCCGGAAGGACTGGGAGCACGGGCAGGGCCTACACAGAGCACGCCTGCAGGGCGCAGTCCCTAAGGAAGCAGCTGCAGAGGAGAGACGGGCAGGGCCGGTGAGGACAGCCTCTTCCTCCATGAGGAAGGCTGAGGAGCGCGGCTTTGTAAGGGGAGGTGGAGGTGCTAAGACTGGGGCCAGCAGCTAATGAGGATGAATCTATGATGCAATGGCAAGGGTGCACAATGGAGGGCAGACTAGAGGTCCAAGTCCAAATGACTAGGTATCCAGTCAGAAGAGCATCACAGTCAGAGGGGGCATGCTGTGGGTGGGACGGTGGCCGTCGAAAGGATAAGGCCATGACCTGAAAGCTGTGAATGTGACCTGTCAGGAAAAGGGCCTCACAGCTGTAATGAGTAAAGCTTTCCAGGTAAGATCATGCTGCTGGTCCTAAATCCAAGGCAAGTGTCTTGTAAGGCAGAGGCAGGGACAGAGAGGCGATGTGACCCTCTGAAAGTGGAGGCAGACCCCAGCGTGACATCCACAGCCCAAGGAGCACCTGGAGACACCAGGAGCAGGCAGAGGCCTGCAGCCTTCAGAAGGAGCGCACTGCCCACACTGCAACCGCATAGGGAGACCTATGCACCTGTTGCTTTAGCCACCAGGTTTGTGGAAATCTGTCATGACAGCCACCAGAAGCTGTAAAAGCTGGAAACAAAACAATGTGGTGAAAATGAGTTAGAGTATGAAAGTTCCAAGGGTTGTTTTCAGCATTAGGTGGACATCACAACCCCCAGGGAAGCTTTCTAAAAATAGAAAGCTGAGTCCCAGGAGATTCTGATTCAGCAACCCAGATATGCATGGGTACAAAGCTCTACAGGTGATGCTCATGTGCAGCCACAGTTGGGAACCTACAAAAGTCAACAGTCCTCCAACTATGAGCATTCCCATGGCGTTTAAACTGTCACAGGTGTACTGTGTAAGACTCACTTTGTCAGGTTACAGATTCACTCACCAGTCAGGGATTCACTGTAATTTATGATCTCTCTGGACACACAGGTCAACGGAAAAACCACAAAGGCACTGGCCTGGCCAAGGTAAAGGCACAATTTGAAATAGTAACAGAGTTAGCAAGGGATCTCAGCGGACAAAGGCAGGCAACTGGACAGGTAGGTCTGGATATCTGGGGTGCCTTCAGCCCAACACGGTTAAAAGTTAAAATCACAAAAATGAATGAAGCTGCTCAAGAAAAAATGTGCAATATAAAGAAATTAGAAGACTGTACAGTGCCTGAGATAAAACACACCCCAGAACCACGAGAAAGTTTTGCCACCAAAACCAAAACAATTTCAACAGCATTCAATCAGTTCAGAGGTCAGTCATGAGAACAAAACAGAGACACCCACAGGCCGCAGGTGATTGGACATCTTTAAAACAAGGCCAAACAAGCAAATTCCTTCAACTGCATGCCTGAGTCTCCATTCCCACTCCCACCTCTGCAGATGAAATGTCCTGAACAAGCACTCCACACCCATCACTCCACTTCCAGTGCCTGCCAGGACTCTGGAGCCTGTGACAGTTTGATCTTTGCTCCCAAATGGAAAAATGTTTCATCACGTCTTACAGCAAACACTCTCTGCCCTCTCTTCCTGGAGGACTCCCAGTAGCCCTTTTGTCAAGGAACACTGCGAAGTAGGTTAAGGAGAGATGGGAACTCATTTCCCCACTGAGACGTGGCATCTAATTCTCCTCCCCCTAAAGCAGGGCTGGCCTTCATGACTCGTGGCCTGTTTACCAATAGGACAATGATGCTCTAGGACTTTCAAAGCCTCACAGCTTCTGTCGCTCTCCTGGGACCCTGAGAGTCCTTGTTGTAAGAACCTGATTACCCCTGGAGCACGGTGCTGGGGATGACTCAGGTGCTCTGGTCCCAGCTGAGTCCTACCTTCCAGCCCCTGCTATAGCACTAGACGTGGGTGAGGCCACGACAGACTCCAAACCAGACCAGCCATCAGCTGACTACCACCAAGCAACCTTCACTAGACCTGTGGAAAGAACTGCCCAATTCCCAAACCACCTGAAAGGCTACTGCTCTAACAGTGATTATGCAGTGACTGATCCCTGAGACAGGCAGCCCCGGAAGCCTTGCGCAGTCTTCTTCTCTCCTTGTTTCATTATCTCTACACTGGTGCCTGATCTGTTTCAGGTCCAGCCCAGGTAGCTTCTCCTTAAAACTGTGGCCAGCTCTTCCCCTCCATCTGGTCCATCTGCCAGCCCTGCCCAGGGACTTCAAAAGAACCCCATTTTGTGTAATGGGTACCAGACATAATCATGAAATTCTGCTTACAAAGCCAAAGTGTTACTATTCCACAAAAGAAGGTCAGAATGTTCCCTGGCCTGGCAGGATTCAGCCATTAAGTTTGCAGAAATAAAATACCCAAGTGCTGCTGACACAACCATTTCTTGTTGTGGAAGGGGGGTATTCCAATTCAAGCCC